GGAGCCGTATCCGGTTCTTGCGCAACTGACTCAGCGCCACCGTCGGAGCAGACGGCGCCCGGCGGCGCGGCGTGTGCACACGCGCTGCCGCTCAGACAGACTCACCCGAACCCTGCGGCCTGGGGCAGCCGCCTCCTTGGGCTTCTTCATGGCTGCGCGGGGCGGCGTCGGGCATCGTCTCCTGCTCCCACGCGCATAAATGCACCCTCCGCGCCGGGCACGCAGCCCAGCACGCACTCGCGTCAACGGCACTCACGCAGCGGACACGGCACACACCCGGCGCGGCAGGCACGGGGGGCGGGGAGGGGGTCACGTGCCGGGGGCGGCGCGGGCGACGCGACGGCGGGCGAGCACCTGCGGAGCCGGGCACTGCCCCCGTGGCGCGCGCTGGTCGGCGTCCGCGGGCGAACTGCCGCCAACAGCCGACGCAGGCGCCCTCTGGCCGCGCGCGCCTGTCGATGCCGACGGCCGCCGCCGACCGCAGCGCTCCGCGCGGCCTTTTCGACTCGAGGAAGGAAGAGCGCTTCCTTTGTTGCTGGCTGACTTGTTGCGCGGTTGGGAGAGAGCTGCCGCGCAGTACCGATGACGCAGCGCGTTAGGTTTATCGAACAGACAGAGGAAAATTAACTTCATTCTATTAATTAATAACGCGAACAAGTCATTCCCTGTGATGTACGTTTCGTCAAAAACAGAAGAAAAAAAACGAGTAAATGAAGGAAATTAGAAATAACTAAAATAAGGGGATTGAATACTTCAGAAATTACAAAAATCAATTAAGTAAGAAACAAAACATCTACATACAAAATTTTGTTTTTCCTTTCCATTTTGTCCCTCAAAAAGCTAAGAATTGGATGTTTGCTGCAGTGGCAGTTCGAAGCCCTTAAGTTAGTAGGTATTATTATTATTATTATTATTATTATTATTATTATTATTATTATTATTATTATTATTATGTCCTTACTTACGGCGAGGCTCGGGCCATAAGGCCTGCTCATCTGCCTAACCGATTGTAAATCCCTACGAAGAACAAATTTTATTAGAAGGGAAATGCTCTATCTTAAATTTTGTATTTGTAGGAAGACGCGGAAAAAATTAATACTTTTGCAATTTTCGAAACTTCAGAGTTAACCGTGAAAATCGGACCTACGGCTCCTTTACAGGTTTATTTTACTGTATTTTTAAAAGACATTTAAAGAAAAAATGTTTGAAAATGTTCGCAGGGCTTCAAGTAAAGTATACCCCCAAAGTTAAAGAATCATTTTCCAAATCTAAAAGCTTCGACTCGAGGCCCATGGACAGGAGTTTCTTCATTTTGGAAAAAATTCTGTCTTGCTTAGAGGCTAGTAGTGTTCACAGACAGATGGATTCGGTGGGCCTCAAAACGTGTATTTCCGTTGAAATCTCGAAATCGATTTACCGCAGCATTACATAACTTTCCTTATTCTACGTACATTACTCCGTATATACGTGCGTATAGGGAAAAGTAATACGTTTATATTTCTATTAAAATTAACTTACTTGTAGGACGTGATAAGGAAAACAAATTTAAAATAAAATTCTTATATAAATAATTGGTGAATAACCACTTCGCATACTTCCCATGAATAGCCACCCCAGGTTTGCCGCCAAGAACGTGTTACATAAGCGATGCTCTGAAGATTTGAGCTTGCTAAATATTGCGTAAGTGTAAATTATGTTTCAAATTCCTCTATTGCACGAGCACAGAATGCATTTCACGAGCACAGAACGTCGCTGATCAGATCTTGACACGGATTCGGAGACTGAAAGAAAGTTCTATGTCTACAGCATTCATGTACACTAGTTCCATCCGAAATATAAAATTTGTATATACAGTGTTGTTTACGACACGTCAGTGTTCAGGTAAATAGTAATATGAGTAGTTAGGAGGCGGATTTTGATTACCTAAAATTTACCAAAATGTATAAAAAAAATGCTCTTAAAATATGTTTAAAATGCCCCCCAAAAAACAAAGAAAAATGTCATAAAAATTGATCAAATCCACTTCAGATGAACAACTCAAGATGTTTGATATGTTACTGGTGTAATCAAGGCTTCTTCCTCTTACAAGACAATATCTGTCTTTATTTATCCCGAAATCGCCCAAACTGACAATGGCGTCCCAGGGATACGCGTCCCAGGGACCGTAAACTACGTAGTACTCACAAGGGCTGACATTACAATATAAGTGTGAGCGAAGACATCGAATAGGCTACTCAAGCATTCTGTGGTGAACATTTGTTGCCTTTCGTAAATATTGTTTGAAGCAAGTACCATTAAAATGCAGTTAAAATCAATGAAATCAGCGAAAAATGCATCAAAAATTAGTGAAAAAGCTAAAAAATGTCTTATTAGTCGAAATCGACGAATAATACAAAAGAAATTACTCATAAAATGAATCATTTCCTTTTGTCATGACATAAAATTAATTTCGATAATAAACGGCATTGTTCTAAAGTGAAAAGTAATTAGTGATTCTACAGAATTGCGTACAATTGTCTGTATTAGTTTTCTATTTCCTTTAGTCTCAGCTAGATATTCCGACTTCATGCCGCCCCATCTTCATGCCATCTATCGCCGCCCAAAGTATATTTTTTTCTTTTCTTAATTTTTCTTTTCCTAATAGTAGAACAGAAATATAATTTTAAGAATATTCAGGAACAGTAAAATAACGTCCGAAATTGCAATTTTCTTTAAAAAATTGGTTCCATATTTAAGAAAATGTCTCATAAGCGCTTAGTAAATTCGAAATTTGAAGCTCTTTTACACAGAAAATTTTTCACTTTTCGAAAAACATCATTATGAATCATTTGAAGCACATCAACTCATAAATGCAGTAGTGATTACAAATTGCTGGAATGTGGATATTAACTGCGTGAGAGATCTCACAAAAAAATTACATTTGTGTAATTTTTGAAAAGCAAAGCAATACAGAAAAATTAATTTTATGCATCTTGTGCAATGAGAACTATCCGTATGAAAAGATTCAAGAAAACAGTTTGGCCCATTGTTGAGTAAATGGCGTTTCAGCGTTTCTGAAAACGCGGAATTTTGAGGTAGTTTTCACAGAAAGCGATTGCGTTGTCGAGAAAGTTTATATGACATTATTTAAAGCATATATACTCAGAAATGTAACAATGTGAAAAAATTGCCGCTAATATAAATGTCAAAGTGAAATATATTAATATGAAAACTGTTGAATGCGGGTACATGTTATTTTACGGAGAGAATTATGAGGAGGAATTATGAAAGGGAATTATGGAATGGAATCATGAAAAGACAAACGGAGTGAATTTAACATCTAGTTAATTAGTAAATAAGTACATCTGAATTATTAAAAGTGGATGTAAAAAATAATCTTATTAACTGGTTCTGTATTATCGAGCGGCGACAAAAAATGTGAGGGCAAAAGACCTTATGACGCCCTTGGTGCATAAGTAACTACTATTTTTATATTTTAATGTTAAAAAATTGTGGTGTTAAAGTTACCTATGGTACAAAAAACATTACACAGTGCATTTTAGCCATATGTTACGTTACAACCCCGTTTGTTCGCTTATATGCTGAGTAGAGAGTGAAATCAAATGAAGTAATAGACATGTACTATTCCTCGCACACTATGAAAAGATGGCATATTACTTTTTTGACAGATATTACATAGAACGCTTGATTTTAATCTACTGATTACCGTTTTAGTTCATCTATAAAGCAAAAGTTTTTTTTTCTCCAAAATGAATGAATGGGAAGAAATTATGTAGTCGCGTATTTCTTCTTATTTATCTTGGGACGGATCAAGATTTATGCGACCGGTTAGGCGGTGGTGATGCTCGTGCCACAATAAAAGCTTTTTATACGACTTTAGAACTCTATTAACTAAAATTTTTCAATACTCTTTGTGGGATCATCGATAGGAATTATATTTCTTTTCATCTTCCATACGCCATTACAATAATCATTTATTAAGACCCTAGCTGCAGATAAAAATGCTTCACCGGAAAAACTATGAAATCCAGTTTGGTATCAATTGATTGTAAAAATACCTCTTATCCTTTTGGCCTCAGAAGCAAGGATTTCCCAAGAAAGTGCTTCTTGTAATTTTCCAATTTCCGCGCAGCCTCTTTCTCAATGGCACACGAATGCGCATTTTCTACTCGCTTGACCTAGGTCTCGAGTCCCGGTTATGGCAGCATATATTTTCGACATTAGCTATAGAGCTGGGTCGAATTCTGCCGCTGTCTGGAGGAGAATTCTTGCGGCCACCTGCTCTGATCGGTAGTTTTCCTTGCGTTCTCCGATCAACACCAAGCGAATGCCAAAGCAGTAACCTGGCCACGAACCGCGCGCGATCTTTCCTTCTTCTTTGTTTTATATCATATGCAATACACTAAAACATACGTCGGGAGAGTAGTCGGGAGCTTAGAGCTTGTCCCGAGGGGGTCAGTCTCCGCTGGTGGGAGGTACCTGGTTGGGGAAAACTCCGCAAGCCGACTGGTAGGCGTCGAATTTCGCCATCCTGGAGGGATGGGAGATCACTGCCATCTCCCGCGATAAAAACCTGCGCTACACTTATGGGAGTCATCATCTCAGTCATTGACGCGTCTGGAATCACTAATCAATCAATCTATCAGTCGACTCTCCTGACCGACAGATCGATTAGAAGAACCGCTGTGGACTAGGGAGGACATAATGTGCGGCCCGATTCCAAACGTCATGAATTTGCGTTTTGTGTCAAACATATCCTATTTTTTTTTCTTCAGTGAAACATAGAACTATTCTTACAGCTTCGATTTACCGTAAGAACAACTTACTTGAAGTCACAGGTCAAGAGAGATCGTCGTGAAACTGCTGTGCATTTACGAAGAGTCCCCCAGCAAAATTACGCATTTTTTAATTTTATTTTTTAATTTAATTTTATAATTTTATTTTGGTATATAAAACCGTGATGTATTATTACTAATGGATTGACTCAAACTACATTTCTATGTATTCGACGTGTATGTTTGATTGTATTTTTAGGGCGCTTGAGCTGATACAGTGTTTAGTACCGTAAGTGCAGTACAGGTGGCGTTTTTGCTCCCGAGATCCGGTGCCGACTAACAACGGCTTGCGGGTTTTCCTCTCCAGATATCACTTCCATTGGGTCCCCACCTCAGCCTGGAAATGCCCTAAGCTCCCTTCTAGTCTGCCCATATGTGCGGCAGTGTTGTGAATGAAAGAGTGCATGTATCTGTGCCAGTGTGTATGCATAAAGGGAGAGGAGAGGACAAGAATGGGAAGGAAAGATTGCGCGCGGTGCGAGTTCCGTTTGTTCGGCATTCGCCTGGCATTAATTGGGAGAACTAGGAAAAACAATTATCAGAGCAGCCTGTCGCAAGAATCCTTCTCCAAATTGTGTCTGAAGTCGACCTATCTAAATAGCTAGCGTCGAAAAGATATGCTGCCATAACCGGGACTCGAGACCTAGGTCAAGCGAGTAGAAAATGCGCA